CCTCTGACTGCATACCATAGGTAGATTGCATCAGCCAATCGGAGACGGTGCGGCCAAATCAGAGGCAGAACGATGCAAGCAATACTGGAACGCGATTGGTAGAATCTCGGGCAACCAATGAGCCTACTTTGTATATATTATTCAATCCTCATTATTTCCTCCAATAAATGAACTACCACTGTCGAGACCTTTTCCTCGTATCTCAGTTACGTGGGATATTGCGTGCTAGTGCCAGTGCGGTCCAGTGCTTACATGATCCAGTCCGTGATTGCTAATCCTTGCTTCGTATTCCGTGATTCGTATTGTGTGATTCGTATTCCGAGTTCAGTGCTTACTATTACTACCATTACTACAATCACTACAATCTCATAATCCGAATTCACTTCACTTCAGACGGTCGTGAAAAGATTGATCGTAGACGGTGAATAAACACTGATGAGAGGGAAAGTTGAGTTTAGTGCTTTAAGAATGCGGAGTTGACTAGACGGACTCGGGGGATTGTCTGGTGGTGTCTGGTGTCTGAAGGAAGATAATGTAAAATAGTCTAGTGGTCAATAATGAATCACTTAAGTAGATAAGTCTGCGAGTTCACGAACAAGTGGAGTCATTTAGTGTTGCAACAAAGATCTTAGTAAATTTGATCAGCAGCATTCATTTTGTTATATCAGTAAGCCTCTGGTTTAGAAAGAATTTCGTCATTGAGCGGACGGACTGTAATTATATCAAAACGATTTACAGGTTTAGCGGATGATAGACAGATCAATAATCCCTAGGCCTGTCAATACGGGGGAGGTCGATAGCGAGGTCAACCAGTCATGTGGCATCCGATGCGAGTAAGCTGCGACCGGATTTGAACTCTCATCACGCACATTTGACAGAAGTTCATTGCCTCGGAAACAGTGTTGTGAGCTCCTTCGGGCTCATTCACCTCCGGTCACTCAACTGGCGAACGAGAGAGAGAACCAGTCTATTGGCTAGCCGGACACGTGATCAGTTGATTCAATGAAATGAGTGTGCGAATGTCGTAGCGTGTCTATCCGAGATTGTGGGCTGTGCGCTGGTGTGTTGTTTGTGAGTAGACGTGTAAGATAGGGTTACAGGTGAATTTCGGTAGGCGTTTATTCAAGATGAAATTTCACGGAATCGAGAGCATGTGGGGGTATGGAAACCACAACGTGTCAGTTCTGGGTGGTCAGCATCTGTGAGAATTGTATCCACAAATTTCACCCAGGAAGTTGTACGATATTCGGAAAGCACATGTCAAAATCAGGATTTAAACAACCAGGTTGTCTCTAGAGGAAAACAGTCCGGAATTATTTCCATAGACTCTCTAAGCAGAGTAATATTGTCTGAGTAAGGTTCTGGTTGACGGAATATAATGTACTTCGGTAGTTTGATCAGAATAAACACCCTCATGGAACAGTAATCATTTACGAGTAAGAACGAACTTACATACTGTTTTGTATAAAACTTTTTTACGTATGAACTGTAACTTTCAAACTACCATACATGTTATAGCGACACTCAAGGTCGCGTCAGAAGAGAGCTAAAAACATTGCAGTAGGAATAAATATCCTTCACGTATAACTATCCGTATACGCATATGATAATAGAAACTGAAATCTATTTCCAAAATGAGATTCCTGTTGCCCAATATTCGATTACTACCTGTATACTTTCTCTCTACCTATGCCAGGCGCCTGGCTCTGTCCTCAATTGGGTCCATCGGTTCATACTGCTGATGAAGCTCAATAGGGTCAAAACATCTCTAATAGTGCTTTCCGGTTCCTCTCTTCATGCTTCATTTTCTTTGGATCTGACGAAATTGGCCATATATAGACCGAGCAATTTCCTCGTAAGATACCATTGAAATTGTTCTGCCTAAAACGCGTTTTTATTGCTCCATTAGGTGAGATATGCATAAACTGATTTATAAATAGTTTAGATCTCATATACAAGTTTTCAGACTTGATCAGAAGCTGTGCAATCTCACTTTAATCTCAGAATGTTATCTATGGAAAAGCTAGTTAGTTATTCATATATATTAATTGACATAGAACCATGGAAAATCAGCCATAGTATCGAGTATGCTGAGGTTAGTTGTACCCAACCAAATATCAAATAATAATAGCAAATGATAATAGCAACAATAATAAAATGCTTATTTACCAGCTTATCTCATTGTAGCTTGATGGGATGCAAATCGGGGATATTTATGACCTGATTCATGTTTTGGAGAGACTTGGTGGAAGAATGCTTGCGAATGTGTATGCGAAGAACAGCAGGAATAGCGAAACCAATGGTGTGCGCTGTTGATAAGTTTTATCTGATCATTTATACACTACTCATTAGATGTCCATCCTATCTGCATCGCTTATCTCACGAGTCAGAGCGGAGAGCCGCGAGTGTCTCTCTGTCTGAATTATCGATCATCATTTCATACTATTCCCGTGATCTGTACCACTAGCACGTGACACTCGTGCGCTCACGGACTACGCATGATGGAAGCGGGCAGAGCAAGTAGAACACCAGAGCGAAATTTACTTCATGGCCATGTGTTGTACGACATTTTTGGTGATAATACTAAGGGATATGATATATTTGAACGGTTTTTCATTGCCCTTAGATACGCATTGAACAAAATGCATGCCCAGTCTCAACTGATCACCGACTACTTACATAACGTGTTAATGTGGGAGACCAAATCTAATTTCCGTCTCAGTCTCTCCGTGGTCATCCTTACCATTATTCTGCATATTGCAGAAGCTACACTTCTTCACCCGGTTTCAGTGTATTTCCCCACTTCGGAAATATGCACGCTATTTTTCATTATTCTCTGCCTGTATCTGTTCACGTTTCGTCAACTCCAATACGGAACATATCGTTTTCTATCCTGGGGTCTATGTATCTTTATGTTTGCCCTGAGCTGTTGGTCTCGTTGTGTCCTGATTCGACGCGATAGTCGTAGATATACAAACTCGTTCGCGATCATTGTTTGCTCCGTGATCCTATTACCGGTCAGTAAACCGGTTGCACTGATCATTTCTGTGATGAATTTTTGCATGCAAATCCTAATCCAATGTCATCGTACTCGGGATTTGGATGTGAGCCGATATTCGACGAACTATTATAGCAATATGTCCTGGATTTATTTCGATAACTTTCGACGCTACAATGTGCTGAGTGAGTCCGATTTCAAACCGGTCGCCGAGTTCATAGCTGGAGCAATCCTGCAATTTTTGGGATTTCTATTGGGAATTTATGTGGACTGTTGGAATGGAATACGTCGTCAGATTGTGTTCTATCGACTAAGCAAAAATGTCCGCATACGTAATGCAGCTCAGGCGGCCTTGGTGGACAAGGTCCGTTGGATTGAAGCGATCATGCCGGCCCAAGTGACCGCAGACTTTTACCAAATACAAAAGCGAAACGAAGAGGCTGGTAAAACAATGTGGGTCTACAATCGAGTATTCGATCCGGTGAGCATTTTGTTCGCTGATATTGTTGGATTTACAAAAATGAGTTCCAACAAGTCCGCCATTCAGTTGGTCACTCTCCTGAATGATCTGTTCAGTCGCTTTGATGAATTGTGTCAGTTGACACGGTGTGAAAAAATTGGCACACTGGGCGATTGTTACTATTGTGTGTCCGGTTGCCCGGAGCCACGAGTCGATCATGCTCAGTGTTGTGTGGAAATGGGGCTGGGAATGTGTCGAATCATCAAAGTGTTCAATTGTGATCATCAGGAAACCGTCAATATGCGTGTTGGTGTTCATACCGGTCGAGTCAATGCGGCCATTATAGGCGCGCAACGATTTCGCTACGATGTGTACTCGTACGATGTGATCGTGGCAAATTTGATGGAATCGAGTGGACAACCCGGACGTGTACACATCTCGGAGAGTACGTACAATCTGGTCAAGTCCGTGTACAACGTCGCACCCGGTGAGGATATGTTAATCAAACGGGAAGAACGATCGGGTATAGCCGGATTGGCGTTGACCACGAAGACAATGAAAACGTATTTTGTCGATCCTCGATCGTCTATCCTACGCAGACGACATGAACGATTTCGTGCTCACGTACAACTCCGGGCGGTCGACACGGATTTGCTGTCGGAACCGGTTCAAATTGTGGCAGATACTAAGAGGGAGACAATTAGTGCTCGCAGAACGCCTTCGTATGCACGTTTCTCACGCGGTCAAATGTCTCTTACCGGTGCGCAGCACACATCCATTTTCTGTCAAAGAGAGATGGCCCGTTTGGAACAGGATATTGAACTGATACAGAATTTGCAAACCGATTCAGAGCGCCAAATTAATCTATTCCGTTCCCCGCCACTGAATCCACTCATGTTGAATTTTCTACATCACGAAACCGAATGGCACTATCGAACACACACTGTTCACCACAAAGTTCCCACCTACATTGAATCGTTGAAAGTTGCTATCTTGTCTGATTCGCTAGCTCTGACAAGTGTCCATATTGTGATCACGTGTATATGTGTCCTAGCTCACAAGCTCACACCGGACTGGAATGGTATTTATGCCATGTATTATCTGGCTGTACTTATGTTTGCACTTGTTCTCCTATGCCTACTCCTATTCAGTTCCACCATGTATGCTGACCAATGCCAATCGCCCCAATTAAAACAAATCTATTTGTGTGTTGCACATAACTATGGTCGAGAAGTACTAATCGCCTTGCTATCCACTGCACCGACAATCTCTTTTCTCATATTTCGTCAAGCAATTGTGACAGAGCATTGTATTTCTGATTACATTGGGTTGTTTGAAAATTTGTGCTGGTTATGTGTCCTAATCCACGGTTTGCCTCAGTCCTCGGCTACTTGGTGTCGTCTGATTTGTTGTGTCACATGCAGTGTGTGTATTCACAAATCATATCGACCAACTCGAGCCCAAGTACGATTCTGTGCGTGGGCGGATGATTTTGTGTTCGGACTATCCGTGCGAGGATTGCGCCACATGCATGTGCTCGATTTTCTCTTTTGTATCGCCCTAGTCAGCATAATTGCTCGGGAAAGTGAACGCAACTGTCGTCTATGTTTCTATGTAACTCGTGAGTCGGAGATTGCCAGCGATCTGAGTGATATTACCGTACAAGAGGCACAACAACTCTTGTTCAATATCATTCCGAAATATGTCTACGATGAATTACAAACGAATGGACGTGAGAATTTCAGCGGGAGCGCATTCAGCTATGCCACACTGGTTCCGAACGCCGGAGTGATGTTCGCCTGTGTGGCCAATTTCTTTTCCAACTATTATCGTGAAGATTACAAAGGCGGTGAAGGAGCATTGATACTGTTGAATAGTATAATGTGTACGTTTGATGAACTGCTCAATCGCCCGGAAATGAAAGATGTGGAAAAAATAAAAACTATAAACGATTGTTATATGGCCGCAGCTGGTTTGAATAGTGCCGCGGTCGGAAGAAATCCGAATAAACGGGAACATTTGATCCTGTTGATGGAATATTGTCATTTGGTCAAAGAAGCCTTGGATCAGTTCAATGCGTTGTACATTATTGGCACAGATAATTTCACGGTGAAAATTGGCTATAATTTTGGCCCGGTGACGGCCGGGATTATCGGGACCACTAAACCGTTATATGATATTTGGGGTGATACGGTCAATGTGGCGAGTCGAATGTATTCGACCGGGTTGCCGGGAGAAATTCAAGTGGCGGAACATGTTGTTCCCGTGCTGTCTGATTTCTTCCTGTTCGAATTTCGGGGGAACGTGTTTGTGAAAGGCAAGGGCGATATGAGAACGTATGTGTGTCGAAGAAAATGATTTGGATCTCATGGTGAAATTTCAATGTTTTCATGGTGTGAATTTTTTTACATTTTGTTACAGTTTTCTGTGTGAATAATATATCTAGAAAGAGAAATTGTTGTCTGGACTCTTTGAGCGGAGAAAGTCATTTTCAATTGTCAAAAATTATTCATTCACTGGCTTAATACTGGTTCTCTGAAAATAAGATTTAGTCAGTTATTGATTTTCGCTTCAATAAATGTTCTACTGGTTTGCCATCCAGGGATGCTTCGTTTTGCAGACAGAAAAATTTAAACTTATTTTTGTATGGTAACTCAAATACAGTCATGTAATCTTTTGGAATATCCTCGTTGAGGTCTAAAGCCCAAATAGAGAGTTAATTTCTTGCCACTCGCTTAACCATTTGCCTCTGTCAATAGTGATCAACAAAGAGCATTCAAGGGGTTGCTCGTGCCGTGTCTGAGTAACATAGCTGACCGTGATTCCAGCCCATTGGTTATTCAACCAAGTCACGATCTCCTCCAATCTAGCCCACATGAGGCCCCCAAGCCGAGATTCTATTTTGAATGTAGACGTTGATTTCTATATGCGCAACTGGATTCCATAAGAGGACTTTTTTTGTTTTGTCCGAGATCCGGAGAAATAATGGAAGTCATTCTATGATGGAAGGCAGTTCAAAGAGAGTCCTGGTTAGCGACCGAATCAAGAATGGGGCTCATCCGACCAGACGCGCAGACGCAGAGGAGGGAAGTGCCTCGCGAGTCAATATTGACTGCCACCCAAAACGAGTGAATCGACAATTACAGCCCGAAAGACAATCCGCAGCTAACGGGAAAGATAACCACCGAATGCCACAACGTCGGAACTGTCAATCAACGCATCTCGCGCCGCGATCGGGTCAAACCAGTCGGAATGGCNATGTGCCAAGTGCGGACCAAAACCAACAAGGAATGACCCACAGAAAGAGGCATGAATCATCCCGCCGCGCGGTTGAGAATTGACTGTATATAATCGAACGCATACACTGTTTGTTTTTGAATTGGATCAATAGACCTTTTCCCAGCCAGCTCACCTTCTTGCTACAATTTCTGAAAGAATCATCATCTGCTCGATTATTTCGTCTGCAATCTAAGGTACTTTGTGTCTTGAACGCGGTGGGTGCTGGCTAAATCCCGGACCGGTTGACCACGTGAATCACATCACCCGACAACAATAGATTGATCCATTAACTTGTAACTGTTTGTGTTTACCAGTTTATCAATTTGAAGAATATAAAATCTCTGAAACGCATTTGATCTTGTCTTTCTTGCTCCTCAAATAATGACTGAAAGTGGGACTGTAACGAAGCAGGCAAAGTCGATTACTTGCGTTACGGACCCTGTACAACACATCGCTATCACCCAAAGACGAGAAAACAGAACGAGCAACGACTGGGCACGAACGAGCACCAGATTGATTGATAGGTTGTGTTAATTCCTTTCCTGTGGAATTAGAAGGACTGCCTTCTCATGTTAAACCTGACGACAAGTGACGCGCAAAGTCCCGGTTCCAATGCAATGAAAACCAAGACTGTCTCGAGATACGGTACTATTAATGTGAATTAATTAATGACATGATAAATAATATACAATTCTTGATTCGTGAGGTATCTGGGTTGGGACAGTCGTCAAGGCACTTCCAGATATAAGTGCATTAAATAGGAATATGACAGCGCTCGGCTGTGTCGGAATACACCTTGCAATCAAGGTGCTTCAAAAGGGGACAGCTAACCGCTGTGTCAAAGAGAGACTATGATCAAACTATACGGAGTCAAACAATTAAGTCCAGTCAGGCAGTGACATAAAGCTCCCAAAAGATGAGCCAATCATAAGAGAATTGGGCGCTCACAATTTGACCTCTTAACAAACGACAGGCGTGCGCGCATGCACGTATGTGTGTGTGTGTGTGTGTGTGTGTACATGAATAGGTGACTCCCAAGGAGCCATCAAAACAGGTCACATGTGCGTGGCTGGTTAAATAATCGATAAATGATAAAAGCGGTGAACCGGTACAGAACAAGTGTAAGCGGAACACAGGTCACAACATAGGACAACATAGGACACTGGAGGTCACAAGAGACCTCGTGTGGTTGAAGTCATACGAGTGATCGGTGTGCGTGTCTGCATGTCCATTGAGGTGTCAGAGACTGGGAGAACTATGTACTCGCTTGATTATGTAAGAATTCGACAACCAGAACGAAACGAATGTCAACGGGACAAATGGGAAGCGATAGAGTGGGCAATTAATCGAAAGAACACTAAATTATTCTGAGGAGAAGAATCAACAAGTTGTAATAGGTCGGTAAAATCGATAACAGCCATCAAGTAACTCTAAACAAGGGATGAATGTCAGTCACCGTTTTGGGAACGTTGCTCGGTTGTTAGGGCCCCGGTGAAGCCTGAAAGAGAGGGAAAGAGTGAACTCTGTATCAGGTGATGTGTATCGCCCAATGCACTATCGGTTCCATTACAGGGCTTTTTTTGCTCAGGTAATGAAACAAATGACGGCTCTTTGTGTATCCGGTGGGCGAAATTTAGGATTGACGAGGTACCCGTTCGATCAATAGGTGGTTGAGATCCTAGGCCTATGAATATGGCAGTTTGATCCATAACACTCCCGTAGATTGGAGTTCTTATTTGGAAAAGCCCGCGGTATTTACAAAATACGTGGATTGCATTATTGTATTATAGATGACTTGTGCAGGCGACTATGCTTACTTTTCAGTCAAAAATGTGTTCACCGTTACAATGGGATAAAAAACGATATGAAAATAATATGCAGCAATGACGAAACTCAAATAGGTGTTCGTCTTTGTAAGTTTAAAATTAGTTCGTTACGGATCCTCACCGTGTCAGTGAGAATACGAGCCAGATAGGGAACCGTTAAGTTGCAGTAAATGTTTATGCGAGAGGGCAAGCAGCGAAAATTGGATCGGGTTGTAGCGTGGGAACGGCAAGCAGATGAACTGTACTTGGAGTAACTACAGCTGGAACAGTGTTGTAGATCTTGTTCGTCTCAGTGACCGATTCTATGGCTGAAAAATTCATCCAGCTCTAGTTCAGTGGTGATTTAAATAATCTTGGACTGACATATCAAACTGTAGAGTGTTATTGTGAGGTCCAATGTTTCAAAATGGTATATGTGTAAAACCAAAAACTCTCTTGGTCTCTTAGCGGTAATCCATTCACAGATGGTTACCAACGCTGATCCGCAGTTGCAACTCTTGGCATTTCTTTTTTTCATATGTTGATTAATGTTATCGTACTCATTTCGTAACCAATCACGTTATATCGATCGGGTTGAGTTGAACTGGAATGAACTAGAATTGGACGCAGACGTGATCGGAAAATAGACAAATTCAAAACTGGATTATCAACAATGACCGAACCGACTGAGATCTGCAAGCTAGCTCATTTCAAGGATCTGTCTATAGGAGTAAGTATATAGTTGGTGTGGTGGGTCAGCCCTCGGAAATGATACCAGAAAAGCACCTGCGCGTTCCAGTTTCTGGACAACGAGACATGGGTCAACAATATCGATCAATGGACAGTCATACAATCTAAACAGAAACCGTGTGATTCAAAGAACAATGACGGTGATTGGTTGATATCCGTTCGACCAATGATATTTTGATTTACACCTTTATTCAATCCCATTACTTTCTCTCAGTAAAGGAACCGCTACTTTTATGGAGTTTTCCTGCGTCTCAGCGACGGGAGATTTCAGTGTACGATTGCTAGTGCTATTCTGTGCTTCACTTACTACCGTGTTTCGCGATCCGTAACCCGTACCTCTTTCCACTAAAACAATAATACTGACAAGTGTTGGCAAAAAGCGATACTCGTGACACTTTCGCACTAGTTTATTCTCCTTGATTGTCATTTTTAACGTTATGTAAAGAGAGGAACTAAGAAGAAAACATTGTCAGCGGGAATTCAGCTCTTCGAAGTTCACTGTTAGTTATTTGCATCTACCAGTCACAGTCAAAGTATACAACTGCTTAACCAATGAACGAATGTCATTTTCTCTAAAACTGTAAAACTCAAGCAATGAAAATGAAAAAATGGACAACCTTTGGCTTAAAAGCGAGCTACAAATGTTTCCCTTACCATCAATACCCACTAAACAGGCCCATCAACTACCTCTACAATTAGGTTTGTTTATTTTAAATCTATTTGCAAGATAAATATTTGAGCTAGTCCATTCGGTTTTCCGCATGCACCAGGCACTGTTGATGATCTGTGGTGTGTGGGTTTCACGCCTCGAGGGGTCTTTAAATCCACACCGATTGAATGCAGTAAAAGGCTTGTGAGAAATCGAATCGACTAATCTAAAGACTATATTTCATTGATAAAGTACTGAAACCCCCGGGAGATTATAGTACCAAAAGGCGAAGTTACCATTTAACTTCCTTTCAAAGGTGATGATGTAAGCCAACTCAAACGAAAACGGCTGCTGGTAACTGTAGCTTGCACGTATTTTGCTGTAAACCCGGTCGTTCGCTTCACCACAACCCAGATTCCGAAGCCCTTGGAGAAATCACCGCTCCCTCTGTCCTCCAAATCGCATGTAATCTATGAATTTCCATGTGGGTGCGGAGCTACCTAAGTGGGCAGAACAGGGAGGCGGCTGCGTATCCCAGTGGCCGAACACATGCCGAACGTGAGCGGGTGAGATTGAGCGCTACACAAACAACCAGGCCATCAAGCCAGTCTCACAGAACACCTGCGCCATCAATTGCTCACCATCTGCTGCAGAATGGCTATCAAGCCGATCACGGGACATCGTTTCGGGTTGTTTACACAACCCCGAATAGACAGCCGCTAAAATTTGCAGAGGCCATAGCAATCAAGCGCCAATAGCCCCTATTGTGTCAGCAGAAGGAGATCTACATCAGTCTGACATTGCCCTGGTGACCGCGTAAGCGGAAGAATGAACTGATACCATGTTAAATTACCAAGCCATATGATACATAAACT